CATCTGGGACATAATGTCTTGCTCCATCTACCAATGCCACATTGTACCACAGACTGTCCAGGAGTTGGGGATGCTTTAGTCCAGGTGTGGGAGGAGATCCCTCAGGAGACCATCCGCCTCCTCATCAGGAGCATGCCCAGGGGTTGTAGGGAGGTCATACAGGCACGTGGAGGCCACAACATACTACTGAGCCTCATTTTGACTTGTTTTAAGGACATTACATCAAAGTTGGATCAGCCTGTAGTGTTTTTTTCCACTTTAATTTTGAGTGTAACTCCAAATCCAGACCTCCATGGGTTGCTAAATTTGATTTCCATTGATAATTTTTGTGTGATTTTATTGTCAGCACATTCAACTATACAATGAACAAAGTATTTAATAAGAATATTTCATTCATTCAGATCTAGGATGTCTTATTTTTGTGTTCCCTTTATTTTTTTGAGCAGTGTGTGTGTGTGTGTGTGTGTGTGTGTGTATATATATATATATATATTTGTTTTCTGAGGTTCTCGCGGGTATTTGTATGTGGATCTTTGGTTATTCGGGTTCTCTCCCACGTAAGATTCAAAGTATCTAGGCAACGTTTCGGCGAGGTCCCACTCGCCATCTTCAGGCTGGTGCTTTCGGCTTAGTGCCAGTGCAAGCAGTGTGTGACCGGAGCTGCCATCTCTCTCTATATACAAGTGGTGGGGGATGGTGTGCTGGGCTGGTTGGCTGTGCTGCAGCCTCTTGATTGGTTGATGGAGTTGATGTTGGTATAATGGGCTGTGTAATGGCCTTTTGTTGTGGAGATATCCTGGATCTTGTGCTGTCATCTCCTGGGTCGTTAGCCTCTTGTGTTTTAACGGCTTGGGTAATGGGTTGTGTGATGGGCTTGTGAGTTCTTTTGTTGTGGTATCCTGGGTCTTGCGTTGTAATCTCCTGGGTCGTTTGTGTTTTGATCTCTTTTCCATTAGCCTCCTGTGTAGTAACAGCTTGGGTAATGGGTTGTGTGATGACCTTGTGAGATTTATTGCTGTGGTATCCTTGGTCTTGTGCTGTGATATCCTGGGTCATTTGCTGTGTTGTGACTTCTTGAGTTCTTGAGGTGTAATTTCTTGAGTTTTCTGATGTGATGTCCTGAGCAGGTGGCTGTGATGTAGCATTTTGGGTTTTTAATATGGCTTTGAGTTTGGGGTCTGGGTCTGTGTTCATTTGGCTTCGAGTTCGTGGTCGTGCCACATCTTCATGGTGGGGGTCAGTTCGCTTCATGTATGGTTCAGAGGAGTTTGAAGTGGGTAGTGATGCAGCTGCAGTGCGGCTTCTGGTCTGTGGTCGTGTCTCATCTTCTGTGTGGGTGTGAGTCTGATTTTTACGTGGAAGTGTGGTGGTG